TCTCCAAATTCCCAACCAGTTTGGGAAGGAAGGAAGGAAGGAAGGAAGGAAGGAAGGAAGGAAGGAAGGAAGGAAGGAAGGAAGGAAGGAAGATTGTTTTTCAGCTTTTTTAAAATCCAAGCAATATGAGACACTGCACCCTATTCACTGTTCTTCATGTATGTGTGAGAGCTCTAATGCCCTTGCAGGACATAAGAGATTCAGCCTGGTCTATTTTATTACCCTAGTGTTACTTAAAATTTATTACCGTCAGATACTATTTAGTTATCTATGGCTGTTGTTGTCCCATCGTACACAATACTCAAGTCCATTTTTACTAAAGTATTACATTTTTCTCGGTGGATATCTCCATAAAACAAGGAAATTCCCAAACTGATTGGGAATTTAGAGTCCCTGAGCGGGTGGAAGATTTTGGCAACAGCCTCTTGCTTACAGTGATTTGCAAAGGATTGAAAGAGATCCTACACGGGGATCCCATGGGGAAATCGCTTCTCCAATTCAGGACCAACTGTGATATGAAGAGGAGAATCTACGGGTGTTTTGGAAATGTTACTTCAGTTGATACAGCTTACAACTGCATTTCTTCTGAGGAATGATGATCATCTATGTGCATTTGATTTTTGATTCCTAAACTGAATGACATTGCAATTGTTTTTCCTGATAGTCTACTACTTTTCAGCTCATTTCTCCGTCTCTCCATTTCTTCATCCAGTTTATTAATGAAAATACTGAATGACTAATCCTTCTGACCCTCTATTTCTGTGATGGTGAACCTATGGTGCACATGTTGGAAGTGGCACACCAAGCCATCTCTCCGGGCATGTCAGCCATTGGCTGTTGCTCTTCCAGGTTCCAGCACACACATGCATGCCAGCCAGCTGGTCTTCATGTGAATTGGAGGCCAGAAACCAGAGGAACAGTGCATGTGCCAGGAAGCTGAGCTTCCAGTTTCTGGTGCATGCATGCATGTGTGAAGACTAGCTGGCTGGCCATAAAATGGAAGACCAGGTAACAGGCACATATGGACATGCTAAAAATGGAAGCTCAGCTTCCCGGCACGCACACACACACTGGGGAACTGCTCTTCTGGTTTACGGTGCTCCCGTGGGTACACACATGGAACTACTCGTCTGGTTTCTGGTGCTCCCACATGTGTACACTGGGGAGCTGCTCTTCCAATTTTCAGTGCTCCTCACATGGACTTGCCTGCTCCCATTTTGGCACTTGGTGCAGAAGAGGTTTACCAAAACTGTTCTATTTGATACCTCTGTTCAATTTGATGATCATTCATTGGTTAGAACTTTTTGAATATGAGTGTCAAGCCAGTTAGGTAACTAATTAATTGTCAGGAATCCTAGCAAGATGGGGGTTTGTTGAGATAGTTATTTCTCTCCTTCAGCAAGTTGTGAAAACAACACTTTTGACTGCAGTGAAGAAAACTGATAATCAAAAAAACAAGAAGTCTGGCTTTTTTTGTCACTCTTTTAATTTTGGACAGATAAAATTCCTTGTCAATACGAGGTGTAGTTTTTATTCTTTTCTCTCACCTCCTCCCAAGGAACAGATGGCTTCTGGACAACCCCCACAGCTGTGGCTGACTTTGCTGAAACGCTTTGAAATCTCTCTGTGGATTGATTTTCACTGCAGAAATTCCTTCTAATATTTCCGTATGATTCAGAACAAATGTTGAGTGGTTGGTGAAGTTACCAGAAATTAATTGATGAGGTCAAAGAATTCATAGGATCATAAGGCTGGGAGGGACCTTGGAGGTCTTCTAATACAACCTACTGGTCAAGGCAGGAGTCTTATACCATCCTAATAAAATGGTTGTCCAGTCTACATTTGAAAACATCAAGGGACAGAC